TCCAAATTGTCTGATTGAGCGGCTGGAGGTGTGGGCACCTCGGAATGCTTAACATAGGCCAGCATTAGGTCCCCTCCCCCACCCACTTATGGTTGTACAGCAGTGAAGCATCAATGCCAACAATGATGTTGATGATAATGACGATAACTAGGAGCTTCAATCACATCCAGAGTGAAACACCACGAACAGCGCTGTAACACCTTTCCGGTGCCTAGCTGCCATGCTACCCGATGGAAGCACGGGGGCTGGCATATTGCCAGGTTGCCCAAGCATAGACAGGGGAAGTCGAGAGGCTGAAGTCGGGTTCGAACCACGTTCAACAAATTCGCGCCCTAACCATGTGAGCCATCTCTCGCGAACCGCACGAACAAAGCCCCTGTTGACCGACTGTACATTGTAGCATGTTCCAGCGACTTATTCATTTGCTCCTTGAGAAAGGGTTAAGATACACACAACAGTAAATGGAGTTCGGGCAATATAATGTGACCTCAATATGCTTTCCCGGGTGTCGACTACAATAATTGTCCAACTGTAATACCGTTTCAGTGCCCATGTGCCATACCACCCGAAGGAAGTATGGTAGCCGAGATGTTTCCGAATCGCCTATTCTTGACAGAGGCTGAATGCTGAGATTTGGTTCCCATTGGGAGCTTCCAGACAGCAAGATCGGGCTTTGACCACGGAGTCTTATCGAGCTTGACCAGATAACTGGAGCTTACTCCAGTGAGGCGTTCGCACCAAGGATATCGTCCGTCATAAACTGGGTGTTATCGACGGCTCCCGCATGTCTTCGAGTTATCCAGTACATCCCAGCAAACTCACACACAAAGCCACAAAGTGAGACAGACTTTTGAAATACAAGGAGGTCAGACAAACAAAGAACCACTCTCCCGTTTGGGGTACGTCGGCTCCGCTTGTTACCGTGTCACTCCGACTAGCTGCGTTTAACATAAGTTCATGTGCACTAGACTGTAATTTGCACTGTCCTCTGAAACTGCACTGTTAACGCATGGAGACATCTTTTTCAAAGGGCCTGTCCTCCCTTTCTTGTAAAAACTGCGAAGTGCAGTTTCAGACGTACCTGCTGTACGAAACAGCATCAAGTAGCTTCCAGTGTCCTACGCCCTGGGGCCTCAAGACAAACCAGTACTCTACCAAAGGTGTACCAAGCAACCGGACCATGAGCCAGGGTGGGGTTAACGGACAAAAAATAAGACCTACTGGCGTCTAACGAGTCGCAGGTCACAGGCAGGACTGGGAAGCAATTCCGCAAACAACTGACCGCATATGGAAATATTGCTGGCCCGAAAGGATCAGCCGGCAGCTGATCAGGTAGTTGGTGTTGGGACATACAACCAGACCGAGCAAGTGATGGCAAGTTCAGTTGGGTCGGAATTTTGGTAACTACGCACTGAACGCAGTAGGCTCGATGTAATAGCGCCGCCGACTGTGCGATCTAGTCACCTCTGCCGAAGTCATTAACTATTGGTGAGTTGAGTTCCACTTTCTCCGGCAGTCGTCCGCTCGGTTAAATTTACTGGCTAGTGTTTTTCTACTTCGTTGCCACGTCACATGCGGTGCATTCCTCGGTCACTTCCACTCAGCACGGGGCTGGACGAAAACAGCTCTGCGGGCTTGAAGGAGCGCGTGTCCTAACCAGCGTATCCTATGAGGCGTGAGGAACTCGTCTATCACGGGATAGTTCCTTCTTCTTAAGACCAACTGGCGTACCTCAGCATTGCTAATCCGATGTGCCCACCATCTTTCACGTGTCTTCTGCACGTAGGGACCACGTTTCTGATCCGTAAAGCAGTACGGATCGCCCCACTGCAATGTGAACTCTTCACTTGGAAGTTGGCAAAAGCTGTCCCGGCCTTTCCGATTCGAGAAATAATCTCATCTTCAACCAGTCCACCGGAACTTATACAGCTGGTCAGGTGAAAGCATCTATCTACTACATCGACTGGTTCACCTGCGTGCATGTGTGAAGCGTATGCCAAATCGTGCGAGTTATTTAGGTTATTTAGAAGCGCTTATATTTGAGGAGGATCTGAACCAAGGAGAGCAATACCATCAGCAAATTCGATGCCTGTGAAGGGGCGTCCGGGAGCATTCCGACCCCCTGAGGTTTCAGAGGCAGGCAGAGATTTCAAAGAACATATCACCGACAAATTTGGAGATGAAAGGCGAGAAGGGTAGGTTCGTCTTACATCAGTGGACGTAGTGAACTCAGGAGAAAGCTTGCATATGCTCGTACACGCACACAGGGGCTTGCATAGTTCCCTTACGAAGGATAGAAATTTGGAAGGGGCGCCTCTGATCGGCAGGTACTGCTAAGGTTGCTGACCATCGACAGAATCAAAAGCAGCTTTAAAATCCACAAAATCACCAACGTGGGACACCTGAAGAAGTGGCGCCGTTCAAGAATATATCTCAAGGTAAAAATATGGTCCATGCATCCTCGACCAGGGCGAAATCCAGCTTGATTCTCACGAAGTTGTCTCCTCCGATAATCCATCAACCTGCTCGAAATAATGCCAGAAAGCACCTTAGATGCGACGGGACACCAGGCTGATAGCACGATGGTTTTCACAGGGAGTTCTTGCTCCGCTTTTGAAAACTGGAATGACGGTCGGGAAAATCCGTTCGGTTCGTATTTTCTTTTCGTCGCAAATCGTCAGCAGTGTGATTGTCATACTGTTCACCAGGACTTCGCCACCATCTTTGAAGGGCTCGGGGTGTACACCATCCTGGACAAGTACCTTGTTGGGCTCCAGGATTGAAATTTCACGCTGGATTGCGGGTTGGTGCAAGTGCTCCATTCGAGCCCCCTTGGTTCTTCCAACGGTTCGGCTGAAGGAGACCAGGTGAATCGTTCTTGGAAATGCTCAGCCCACCGTTAAAGGCGACTGAGGGAGTGAATTGCTGTTCTTTTACGCATATCGTCTCACCGACACCTGCCCTCTTTTGGTCGGTTGATCAAATCAGATAGAACAAGGCGTAGCTGTTACCTGCGGCGAAAGCCTTCTCAATCTCCTGGGCCTTCGAAATCTAACAGTGTTCTACCATTCTTCAAGTTCCTGATAATTCGGATCTGCTTGCACCATCATAGTCGCTAGTTGCTAGTATAGATAAAAATAAATCGGCCAGCTGTAACACTCTTCCGGTGCCTAGCTGCAATGCAACCAGGAAGCACGATGGCCCCCAGTTGCTAGTATGGCCTTTCTGGCAGCAATAGGACCTGTAGATCTCGAAGACATCCAGTGTTCATTTGCCAAGTCAATGGGCTGGACAAACAGTCCTGGGGTCGTTGCTTCTTTAACTCGCCTCCACTCGACACCGAGCACACGACTGCGTTTCCTGTAGCTTTCTAGCTGGATAAGCTCGATGATCTTCAGCTACTAAAACTCGCAGAAGTTGAGCGGAACTGCCCTCTTATGACACGCGTAGAGCCAAACGGGCCCGCACGAAGGCGTAATGAGTCAAGTTGCTTACCCCAGGAGCAAAGACGGGATACCCCAGGGAAACTTCCCCGGTCTGGGCAGCTGAGAAGTAACTTTATTGCGCGGCATGGGAATAGCAGTCCTGACTCACTTGTCGGATTCACCTGATTAGTACTCCACTCACGACAAATTGCTGATCGGTCTGTGTAGCTCGAGGTGTGTAAACCGTGACTGTCTCCATGACAAATGGAGTCAATACATGCATTAGCAAGACTCGAACATATGTCCGTTTGAGCCGTTTGTAGCATTCAAAACAAAATCCACTCGGGTTGAATTGCGAGAATACACCACAACTCCAGGAACTCCGTTTGGGGTTGGGAAATTTCACCCCCTAATCTGAAGACCCTAAGCACTTTAGCATCAGTGCCTCCGTAGTGCAGCGGTGAATTGGCCACGGCAACGACAGGCTAAACTGACGCGGGTACTTCGTAACAAAGCAGAACTGTTGAAGCGAACAACTCATCAGGTCGTGGCTGGGACATGTACTAAGTACGTCCAATAACAGCACAAAACGTTTCTCGTTCAGAACCCGGGGTGGCAACATGCTCCAGAGGTCGTGACATGGCCGCGCGAAATGAGCTACTAAAATCATGTCGGGAGTTGCGCGAATTACGTTACGTGTTCGTTGAAGTACACGCGATCTGTCTTGGATCTAGTTGGAAAATTCGCAGCATGGGGCACTCAACCACCCCCGTTGCGCTGAGGTTACCTCTAGCCAGACTCCTAATCGCTTGGTGCAACCCACCGAGTTCTTGTTGTGGACGTTTTCAAGAGACACTATCAACCCAAGCGACGACAGCACACTCCGATAAGCTGCTCAAACACTTAAAATCGTTGCTATTCCAATGCTTAGGCGCCCTTCTCTTGATCACACTCCTTTCACTTTCGAATTTCGGACAGCTCCCTCCTTACGTTGCGTGGCAGTTGAACAGCAGTAGTTCGAGTCCGACCCCTGTTTAGTCTTGGGCAGCCTGGCAGTATCTCAGCTCTAGTGCTTCCTTCTGGTGGCATGGTAGTTAGGCACCGATACGGTTTTACCACTGAACACCTTAACAGCTGAACAGCAGTATTGGCTGCTGGTGTAATGCTGGCGGCGATAACGCCTCGATAAGATGTCAGTCTGTAACCCCCCTCCCCCCCGAAAATTGGCACCCAGCGGCAGACGAACAAAATCACCCAGTGCACAGCTAGAAATTTTGCTCAGCCAATAATGAAAACCTCTCCGACTGAGATAATCTCTAGGAACACAATAAATACCTGGTCAAACACACTGAAAAATATCAGAGATGCAGACGCTAAATACTACGATTACCTGAGACGAATGCGCATTGACATCCGACCGCGATTGACGGAACCATTTTATATCAGTGCACCACATGGATGCCACTGCTGCTGAAAGCTGCAGTCATTGCACTAAATGCTGAGAATGTGTATCCGATATGCAGTTAAACTGCATTCAACAGAAGAGATTTTCCACCACACTTTTATTTCAAGGAATTATGTACTGATCTTCTCGCGCTCGTGATCCTTCTTCAATGGTCCCTGAATTGAATCAGATTAGGAGATATTGCTGCCTAACTTACCATAACAGCCTTCTTTTCTGCTCTTGTCTGGAACCGACCATGACCGAATTTCGAGGACGTGTCAATGAATTTGAGGACAATCTTCTCCTTTGACCGACGATTCACTTGTGCCAAGATAGTCTTCCTGAGTGTAATCACACGCTTCTTAGGGCCCATGCAACAACCCTTTATCATAACATAGTCGTTGCGCACCTCCCCGTAGTGTGGAAATCCACCCATGGGAGTGATGTTCTTCGCTGTTAGATCAAAGTCAGTAGATGCGTTGCCTTTGGGTTTGATGAGAGCTGATTTGTCCTTCGACTCTTCTTTTGCGGCTTCTGCCTTAGCGGCCTCCAGCTGTGCCTGAACACCTAGTTAAACATATAACTTATAAATAGGATAATCTCACCGAGTCCGATCCTATATATCTTTTTATTAAGCTCCGTTCGGTGGAAATATCCTTTCTGACCCGCTCGGGCAACAGTGGACCCAACACGGGCAGGGTGCCATGAGCCGATGCAAGCAACCTTACGCAAGCCTTTATGTGTTTTGCGGGGCAATTTCTTCGTGTGCCACCTAGATGTAACACCTTTGAAACCCTTTCCCTTGGTGACACCGATTACATCAATCATTTCATCTTGACTAAAGACGTTCATTATCGGTATTTGTTTCTCAAAGTGCTGGCGAATCCAGTCTACTTTTTGCGACACCGTCCCACCATTGACTTGTATCTCCATAATATGGGCCTTCTTTTGGCGGTGCTTCATTAATCGCATCTAAGGAAAGTAAATCAAAAACCCATAACCTACTTGAGTGTGTGCAATAGCCCGCACTACTGTGCAATACTTCTTCACCTTCTTCAGGTCACGATTGATCTCCCGTAAGCCAGCTTCGTCAGCCCATTTTTTCGACGCTTTCGTGAAGGCCTTCTTCTTGGACTTACACCAATCCTTGTAAAACCGACGACGACATTCTTCGGTGAGGTGTTCTGCCCAGACTGTCTTGAATGTACGGAGTCCACGGGCAGTAGGGGCATAGCCCACCAACCCCACGATAACCATGGGTGGGCACTCCAGGATAGTAACCGGTTCAACAATTTCCCTTTTGTGGACCTTTGATCCCGGTCGATCGACTTCGCGGACAATGTGAGTCATGCCGGCCTTGTAGCCCAAGAAGGCAGTCAAATGCGGTGGCAGAGACCGGCGATCCTTAGGAAATGCTTTACACTTTCCGCGGATTCGTCGACTTCGCTTCTTTGGGGTAAATCCCATCGAACCATGTCGTGGCGCCGAAAACTTCCTGTGGGACTAACGAAAGAAAAAGATAACGGCAGTGGACGCAGAACTCACCATGCTGGGTACGGAACACGCCTGTGAAAGCGCGCCTTATATTGATGCGACTAAACAAAATTCAGTTGGTCAACTAACAGTTTTATTGTATGCCGGGGCTGCGCTTGTGTGATCGTTTTAATTTTTCGTGTTATCAAGAAACTATGAGAGGATCTGTGTGCACTTTGAAGTTAAGAGCCAGGCGCGATCTGATCATGACAAGCGAGGCATTTTCACGAGCAGGTTGTTAGAGTTAGACCTGGTGAAGCGAGCACTTTGTTATAGAGGCAGTTTCGGAATGTCTCACCTAAGAGAAGGGATAAGAACAGGATTTCACTAGCTTTTTTGGGGACCTAAAAAGAAGTTAGAAACTGATGGATCCAATTTTAAAATTAGATTTGCACATAGCAAAGAGCTTATGTAAATAGCGAAGCTTCAGCCAACTCAAGCCTGTGACGCCTGACTACAAGGTCTCTACTTTAGGCCACAGGACAGAATAGAGGGAAAAGTAACGTAACTGTGCTCATATTCTGTGATGAGTTTGTCGAGGGATGACTGGGAGGTGGGGGTTAAATAAGATAGAAACTGGTCGGTGCTGCGCTCAAAGAAGGTGTGGCCCATCGTCCAGGTGCTTGTACCAGCATGGAGCAAGCGAAAAAGTGATAGTCTTCCTCCTTGCTTGAATGTCTTTCTAGGTTCGTTCTACAACTTGGCCTCAGTGGGTGGAATGAAAAAAATGTTTTTTTCCTCAAACTAGAACAGGACGAATGGGAAAATGATGATTGGAGGGCTTTCATGTTATAAAAGCGGGCTCAAAGCCACCTTATTCTGTGCAAATGATTTCCTTGCGTTAAATTTGACTGTTAGTTTCTCAAAGACTTCACGGCTCTTGCCGTAATCGACCTAGAAATGTCGGACAAGTCATGCCTGGAGGCCCGGCGGTCGTGATAATTCCCTATACGTATCTAACTCCACACAGCTTCGAGAAGGACTCTAATAAGTGATGTCTTACTCGCTGACGGAAACTGACACGGGGGACTCAGAAACACTGCACACAGACTCATCACTTAACCTCCGCCGGTGTTTGTTTTTGGCTGCTGTACGCCAACTTACTCCCGGGAGCTCTCAACCTGACTAATCGTGCTCATTTCGAGAGATTTTCGTTCATGGCGCGTTTCGTGGTCCAAAAGACCTCAGTCGTCGCAGTTTAATTCACTATCACAACTGTTGTTTTTCTCATCTCGGCATTGTTCTCCTCGACTGTTTATCAACAACAATAAACGGTGCAATCACTATCATGCTGTTGCCCGAAAAATACTTACAAGACTGTCGAATGCGATTGGCAGGCGTCAAACCCACAAAATGGAAACCTGAAGCCTGTCGCAAAACCTAGTTTATCCGTTTTGGATAGATTCATGAGCCCTCAAACCAAACCCTATTTGACACCTGGGATAATACAAGGAAAGTGATCATCCACATTACCAAAGCGGTTCGCCTGTCAATGAACTTAGTTGCCCCTACTTGCTTCCGTCCGAGTTACGCTGGTAAATCAAACCCACCACCTTTAACAGCCTCCCAATCCGCCGGCATGCGTCTCGAACGCTTTCGGCAGTGTGCAGACGATTAGGTGTTAAAATTTCAACAAATTCTTCCATGTGCCTTAAAATTTCGTGAACTCCATCTCCCTACATGTCATCTAACTACTCAGACCACCATGTGCAAAAGGCACATGGTGGTACGAACAATAGATTGGACTATTCAGGGGCCTGCACACTATGATTTTTTTCACCCGGCCCCATCCAGTTCTGCTGCGCCCCGCACCCCAGGAGCAAGCAACTGCAGGTTGCGCGCTACATTTATTACCAGGGCCAGTCACAAATCTCACAGTTTGATCCAAAAATTTGCTAAATCGCTGAGGAAATAAGATCAGTTTACGAAGACAGTTGCGGCCCTGCAATAACCATGAAGTCATCTACCTCTTCAGCATCCGCATTCCAGTTAATGCCCTTTAAAAACACTTCCTCGTCGGAGGACTACACCAAGCTCTCATCTTGCTTTGTCTGTCCGCTCTTGAACTAATCTTCATGGAGAGCTTCAAGTTGCCGGACTTCAGATCCGTGCTATTAGCTAGATGGCAGTAGGCAAATTGTGCCCCGGAGTTGTGTTAATTTTTGGGTGGTTAGCAATAGGTTTCAAAATCCGCGGAAGTTTAGGGGGGGAACGAAACGGCTGCTAAAATTCTAGCCTCAGTCTAGCTGTACAGATTGATTGTGAATAAACGATTTAAACACAACGGACTTCTCCACATCCTACTCCTGGGCGAAACCTCAGGAAACCTGCCCAAAAGCTTTGTTGGGCAGGCTTCCTTTACGAGAATGCCTTGGGTGTTCTTCAGCGAGTAGTGCTTGGTACGCAGTCCACCAGCGTTTTCTACCTGCATTTCTGTGACACCATCGCATCAGATGTGATATCAGGGACTCCGAAATCTAACCAAATCATGCCTAATATGTTTCCGCATCCCTGATAGAAAAGCTTGGTTCAGGATCACTCATGATCCACTAATAAACTTCGCGTCTGTAAAAAGCCGAGTTAAAAATTAGACCCCCGCTCTTTTGCTGTTCCGATTAATAACGGAGTGAATTAAGTGATCGCCCTAGGCCGCTTCATGTTCGTGGACCATATCATGGATGTCTTCGGCGCCACGTTCGATAGTAAGCTTTTCTCAGTACGGACAATTTTGGCGTCACTCTCACTTTTGCATCCGCTGAGGGAAGTGTTTCTTCTCACTCCTTACATTCAACTTGACTTTGAGCCTCCAATCTGCTGGTCAAGCGTCTCTGGTCCAAACTCTTGTCAGGCGAATCCGGAATTAAATCCTGCCTTGCTTACATTGTTTTGTTTCTTGTAGCTGACGCCTACTTAGTGTACGTTCTCACTAAATGCCAGACTAACCAGAAAAGCTCGATGCTTTTGTACCGAAAGAACAGAGTAAAACTGACCGCTCGTACATGCATCAAATGAACTCAATATCACCTCTCTCATTCAGCCGGCACTCTGAAGCATTGATAATGGCATAATAACATGTTTATCCCCTAACTCGGGAATGATCAGTTCGCTGCAAGCCAAACGTGGCGGGCAATAACACAGCGGGGACGAAAATATAATCGATGAATCGCACTGGCTAGGCGAAAAGTCGACGTAGTTGTAGGATTCAGAATAATCAGAACAATTGGGCATGAAGTAAGACGAGTTCAGTGATGGCGCTGGTTGACGCACTAAACCTGAAAATCATTTGTGGGTGATGAGTGAACTTGGGCGGTTAAGAAAGTGGAGCTGAAAGAATTCGTATTGGAGACAATTATCAAGCTTTGTCTCAAAAATATAACTTGCACTGAAACTGAGTCTACTCACTGGTGTACCTGTTGTAGAGAATTTCGGCAAGCAGGATAATTTCGATGGGGAAATATGGCTTATGTTTGAGTCTAGACGACTGCCCTGAATAAAACCGTTGAATTTGTGGAAGGGGGCAACTGAAATGGTAGCGTTTAACCTAGTTGGTTACATCCGAAAAAAGGTTTAAAGGGTCGAAACAAACTGGTGTCAGAAACGGTTGGGGCTGGATGAAATTTTTTCGGTGTTGCAACTGCAGGCTTGTAGAACCGAAAGACGAGGGTCAAGGGTAGGAAAAAAATGTTGCGGGTTTGTCATCAGATTGTTTTGACGTTGCCGCTCTGGTATTGCAATGAGATTCCTCGCTTTCTGGACAGCTCCGTAACGGACGTCAATGGTGCGGCAAACAAGCTGAGGTTTCGCATTTCTGGGGTGGCTTGATCTTGTTTAGAGAGAGGGTCTGACGCAGGTAGAGACAGGCCGATTTAGAGTCGCCGGTAATTTTGATTCAGTCAAACGACCCTGTGGGCGTAAACCTGAGACCACCCAGTTTGAATGAATGGCGGGCATACGGGGAGTTTGTAGTAGCCACTGCTGGAGCTCGGAGCTTGGATATAGATGGGAATGAGGAGGAAAGAGGATGAAAAAACGTCCTGTGGGTACCGAGAGGCATCATAAAAAACGGTGTCCAGTAGAAAAAGTGATCTAAAGGGATGAAAGCAAAATAAATGAATCTATGTAACGGTTTAGTGTTGTCAGCTGACCTGTCAGCCAAGGATCAGATGCGGTTGCGGATATAGTATGAGGAAGCAAATCACCATTAGTCGCATTCATTTTGGCGTTTATGCAGTACATTTAGATTGCTATGCATGAGACCACCATTGGTGGTAATAGATGCATCTCGTGTTTGGTTTGCGTGTGTGGTTAATGTGGAGAAAGACGTTAGCCGGACAACGATTCGTTAACTAAGGGCTTCCAAGATAGTGTATGGGGAACGCAGTGTAACTGGAAGCCAATACGTGAACTGAACAGAAAGGCAAGAGTATGTTTCGCCAGTCAGTGAGTCAGTTCCAAGCAAGGAATGGGGCATGGCCAAAAGGGCCAAAAGTCGCTAGACGTGGTGTTCCGGGAGCAATAATGAATATACGTTAGCATCAACTCCCTCCTCAAGGAACGTTTACTCTAGACCCCTCCAGCAGTGACACCAGCGGGTCCCTACAGTTTCAATATAGGCCGTGATTATGGGATCCCCACAAGTTATCCGTATCGCTAATTCCACTACTTCAACATCATCACTTCCGCTTTATATGACCCTGGTACTAAGCCCAAAAGTCCAAGGCGGAATAGACATCTGTGGTTTTAGACTTAGTTCAAATTGACCGGCCGAATTGTGGCAATCCAGCTATCGCACCAGATTCGTTGTTCTGGTTCACCATTCTTCTCAATTTGAAGTTTTCTCATCATACACCGGACAGTGTACCTCTTTCGCCCCTTTCGTTCTGTTTTTTGCTCGCCATCTTTAAACCCTGACGAACTGCTCTTGTCTCAACTTG